ATAAATGAATAGAAATCATTTAAACTACATCTAAGCATTACTTGGATGTAAGATTCTCTCAAAAAGCCCGGCAGCTCCAGACAGCTCACTTCCAGGTCACTTACACTCAGTACAGTGAGTGTTTTGCAGTGTACCAGTTTCCATTGATGCTTTGTGGATGGATGACATGGATCTCTGCCCAGCTGGATGACTCTAGATATTACCAAATGAACAGAGGACACCAAGTTTATCTTTCTTTTGCCTTTTAATGCAGTGGCCTCCAGATGTCACAAATGACTAACAATTCACATAAGGGAAGTCACAAATACTGACTGTGTAAAACATCGCCTGATATGTCACTACCGAGCAGAGATGTACTGTCCTCTGTGCAGAAATTGTATTTGCATCCCACAATTCCATATTCTTTAATTCCCTTCACTGATGCTGTGTGTATTGCACAATTAAAACATGAATTAAAATTTGTTCCTGAGCTGCTCTATATGGACTCAAACCCGAGCATGTGGTCCTAAGACACACATGATCAGGTACTGCATGGAAGGCTCACCTCACCTCCACCATATTCTCAGCTGTGAATCACAGTCAATCACTGCTGTCCACACAGGAAGCTGAACGACCCGTAACCTGTGCAGCGCCGAACCACAACTTAGAGGCCAATCAGGGAGAACATGTAAGACCCCTGCTGCCTGTACAGAGTTTGTGATTGGTTTTATTGATTGAGCGCGTTAATGTTTGATATAACTGGTCTCTCTAGTGACCAGTCTCCGTATGGCAGTGGATGCTTACAGCAGCTTTTAACGTTGAGCTTAATAATGTTCATTAATACAATCGAGTGTGTATTTTAAGTTTGAAAATGACTGTCGAACTGTGAAGTTTCAGATGTATACTTTGCAATGCGACATTGATTTAAAGTTTAGGGCGCTTTGTTTGTTTTCTGCAGCTCATTTTGTAACGGTAGCTGTTTCTGTGATATGCTTGTTCGTTGCTTAACAAGCATGGTCTATTTGACTGCAAATGGTGCATGCTACTTTATTCAGGCCTCTGCTGAACCTGAATAAACTAGCAAAAAAAAATGCTTACCAAGGGAATGAGTATGTGGATGAATCTGGCCTTGATATTGACTGTGTGCAGAAATGTGTGAGGCTCAATACAAGACCTTGAATCACAATCAAAAATCAGTCGAGAATAGCCTGGTGTGGAGTTTGAGCATCTTACAGACAGCTGCATATTGCAAACCTTTTGGTTGTTGCACTGGACACAGAAGAAAACTACCACTGTTTACCATAACGTTACTACACACACTGGAGTGCACTAACATAGATGCAAATAGTGATACAGCTCTTGTGTTTTTCTGGCCTTTAAGGCTGTTTTACAGCTAAGTAAGTTTGAATAAACAATATATAAATGAAATAAACAATAAGTCCCTCAGCTTTGCCGTCATAAAGACATTCAATGTTGTCTGAAAGCACCAAAAGTCACTTTCACTGCCATGTCATTATCGGTACAGTGATATGTTATTATTTTATTATGTGATCATATAAGTATCATCCAGCTCTATCTTATACTTAGGTACAGTTGCTCAGGGGTACATCGACATTAGTAATGTCATTTTTTCCTCATCCAGACATCTCTGCTGCAACTTAATTCCACTGGGAATTTCATACATTATAAAATGCTTTTGTGATACGGTGATATTTTTTAGGAATGTAGGAATGAACTGTTTTGTCCAGCAGGTTTGAATGATTCAGTTGTGTTAAAGTCTGTTCTTCCAGCTGCCATTTTGTGAATGACAGATATGCTTCATGAGCAAACCTGAGCTACTCAAATGTTTTCCATAATTTGCTTTGATTGATGCTTTGCTAGGTTTCTTTCTAACGTCCTCTAACATCCATGTATATTTTATTCATTCAAAACTTTCCTGCCTGAGCCTTATTTAATCTATCACTCCTCCATATCGACCCCTTTGGCTCCTCTGTTGTGATTCTATCCGTCCTGACTTTTCTGACATGACTCCTGCTGTTCCTGCAGCTGAGAAACGGAGGCGAGATCAAACTGGAGCCCTTGTCAGCGTCCCTGGTTCGATCTGTGGCAGCAGTCACCTCCCAAGCGTCTGTCACCAAGGTAACCATGACACCAGGCAGCGGCGGTGTTGGCGATGACGACGGTCTCCATCCAGGGAAGTCCACCGCCATCCCCTACATCCCTGCCCAACAACAGGCTTCCAGCACCGCAAGCAGCCACCAGGAGAGGGCGCTGAGGTATTTCTCCATGACCCAGAGCGGAGACCCAGGCCACCCTGAGCCTGAGCTCAACTCCTCCCCTCTCCTCTCTGAGAGCCGAGGGAGAGCGGGGGCTCCTCCTGCTCCCACCTCCTCCACTGGTCGCAGACAGCAGGGGGAGGCCGTGGAGGAGGGCTGGAGAGAGCAGCAGCAGGAGGAGGAGGTTAGGGGGAGACAGCAGGGAGGAGCCACAGAAGAGAGCCAAGGCGGCAGCATTAAGGGGAAGCCGCACTCCCCCGACAGGGACAGGGACGGCCGGCAGCAGCATCCCCAGCCTCAGCACTCTGCTGAGCCCTCTTTGTGGAGGGGCGAGTCAGAGCCCCTGCCCAGCTGGAGAGCTGCAGACAGAGATTCCCAGGAGAGCAGAGGGAGAGCAGAGGGAGGAGGAAGAGGAAGAGGAGGCTACCTGAGAGAGGCTGCAGCAGCTCACAGCTCATCCACACAGGAGAAGGAGAGGAGCAGCGGCCGGAACCAAGCAGGCATCTCAGGTAGGAGGCTGCTCTGATGACTTACACAGAGAAGAGATGGACGAGAGTCGGGAAAAGGGGAAAGAATAGTAAAATTAAAGGAATAACTGAGGGCACAGAGAGGGGTGTGAAAATGAAAACAGAAAGGACCAAAAAAAAAGAAGAAATAGAAAGGGAGTGACAAAAAAAAAAAAGAGGAAGCAATGTCTAGGGAAGGGGCTGTTCTCATTATCCTCATTGTCTTATGCAGCATGCTCCCACGCATGATTGCTTTCTGCCAACTGCACACACACTTGTCCCAGCTGGGGGTATTTGATTTGGCTCATACAGAAAGAGAGAGAGTGTGTGTGTGTGTGTGAAGGAGAGAGAGAGAGACGTCTGAGGCTGAATCTAATTACCATATTTTTCCATGCATTTGCCTCGTGGCTCCCTTTGTCTAGAAAAGAGGATGCCCTTTCCTGACATGCCGTTTGTCGGCTAACAGACCCCAAAGATTTTCAGATCGAAACTGTGTGCGCTCACTGTCACGGCCTTAAAAGGGGCTGTGGTCCCCTTGCACCAGATTACGCCTGTGGGTTAGCTGTGCACATGCTACAGTGTAATGGACCTGACCTGTTTTTATGTACTAATGCAGATCGTGTCCAGGGGTGGTCTTTTCCCATGCATGCACACAAACATTGCACAGAGAGATGAAAGCACTCAGTGAGAGAGTGCAGAACAATTGGCCGGCACTTATATGAAGCAGGTAGAGGACAGAAAGGACACAATGGAAGCCTTGTCTGCGGGCTGTACTCTTATTTAGTTCTGCATGGATAGATCTTAACTAAAGTTTAGTCTATTATACTATAGTATCATGAGGTTAGGAGGACTTGCACTGATTTACACTAATTCCCTGGGGAGTTATCACTACATGCCTGACACCAACCTCGACCCCGACCTTAACAAAAGACAAGTCTTACGCCTAGTAGCTTTTTCTTGTGGGGAGATTTTTGTCCCAAATAGGAGGAGGCTCTCCACAATGTGGACAGATGGACAGGTTTTTGTCCACATCATGTAATTAATACACTGACACCTTAGCAGCATACACAGCAGACTTTGTATGGCTTTAATTTAATTTTTCCCTTCAAACCTACTGCACATGTAGATGCATGTATTTAAGGGATGAGTACTGGTTACACAGGGGATTTCAGTAATTTAATATGGATCTGTGTACATTTGTTTGACGTGCACATGCATGTTTATGTGTCCAGACACCCATACTATATAATTATGGTCATAATGGTCTGTTTTTGTCAGCATGTTTGTATATACAAGGTCCAGAATCACCGTATTATATCAGACAAAGTTTTTATGACTAATCAGCTAAAATATCAAAAACCTCTGTGTCTATCTGTCATTGCGTTTTAAAATTCTAATTGTCGATGCATTAAAAGATGCTGCAACTCTGCAGAACAGATACCTGCCTCTCAAAAGCATCATGTAGAAATGCCACTGTGTGTTGTCAGAAAGCTTAATTTAGAGGACAAATAATACATTAAAATGGATGCAATGGAAAGAATAATTTCGTTCAACTCTGAAATCTCAAACTGACTAAAGGAGACAAACCGTTTCCTGTATGACATTACCTCAAGTTCAGCCTGCTGCAGGAAGATTTCAAAGCTGCTCTGCACCCATGTCACACCCACATCGGGTCTTTTCAGAAATAGTTATTAGTTGCTTTACTGAATAAAAGATACATTTTGACACATTCTGATTCTAAGCATTAAAAAAACAACATACTAATATTGTGGGTGTCAAATGATAATACATAGCTTATTTTGACCACCAGTCAAAGTTAATCTCAGACATTGTAAGTATATGATTGTATACTGTATCCTTTTCTTTCAGAGTTGCTGGATCATCCTGCTCCACTGAGGCCACTAATCGCTAAAGTGTCATCCAGGACAGTGTCTCACGTGTCAAGCAGCCAGCAGCAAACTGTCATCCAGCCTCCTCAAACTCTTCCTAAACCATCATCCTTCATCACGCCCCAGCCGTTCTCACAGCCCTCCCAGCCCCCACCCACATGTCCGAAACCTTTCACCCAGTCCCCTCAAACCCAGCCCAAACCTCAGGGATTCGTCCAGCCTCTTCCTAAGCCTTACCCACAGACGGCCCCCCAGCCTCAGCCCAAACCTCAGGTGCCTCCACAGACACCACCCAAACCCCAGTCCTTCCCCCAGGCCCTGGTCAAGTCCCAGTCCCTGCCCCTGGACCACAGCGAGGACTTCAGCAGGGACAGTGTCCATTCTGGAGATCTGCTGTCCCCCACAGAGTCTGGAGACCAACTGTCTGACAGCATGTCCAGCAAACAGATGTCTATCAAGGAGAGGTGAGTGGTGAAGTTTTGAAAGTGATAGACTGTATTTAAACAAATTGTATTGATTTGTTTTTTTAATATATATTTTTTAATTAATTTGGGTACTTTTCTAACTACATACAGTAGAGTATGACAGTGTTTGTGAGGGAATTACATAAAATAATCTTATTACAATAAAGGTACTTGTCAGGTCAAATGGTGACACTCTTAAGGCTGTGTGACCAGCACTGACTTGGTGGTCAAAGGATTAAGGCTGAGCTGCACCAGCCCTGGTTCGCTTCCAAACCAGGAAATCTGCTGCATTTCAATCCCCATCTCTTTCTCCCCTCATTTCCTGTCATCTCTCTAAAGTCAGCTATAATAAACACTGAGTTACAAAGGCCAATAATTAGCTGCCTAAAACACTGATTCAGCATCATTTAAAAGTAATTCAGTTGAAATAGTCCCAAAAACTAAAACACACTTGCATCTTGTGGTGTGTTTTGTATTTCTACACCCATTCTGTCTGGTTGTATACTTTTTCCTCCTTTATTATTTTATTGACTAAATGTGGACAGTGTAACAAATCTCCATCGCAGCTGTACCTTCTGTGCAATACAGTAGCAGAAGTATAGTCCATAATTAAAAGATGAATGTCAAGTTTTTGAGTCTGTCAGGAATAAAGGAGCAAATGCAGGAGTTGTAATTTTGCTCAGATGTGCAGACGTTATCCGAGGCGAGAAAGACATTGTGGGAGAAACAGAGGCATCATTTTTTGCAGCAATAAACATCACTTATCAAATTCTCAATATATCAAAGTACAATGCGGCCAAAAGACATGTTAATGCTTTTACGGTCTCTATGAGATGCTGCACAAAACTTGCCCATCTGACATAAAGATATCATCAAACTGAACATGAGGAAACATGAGCAAATATCAGAACGATTAAGTCTGCACGCTGAGATCTCCAAGTGCAAAAACTGTTAACTACAGTATAACCACAAATACTCCTCGTTAAACCAGTACTATCTCTATCATTATCTCTATCAGAAAACTCTCAGTCTACTGTAAATTCTCAAGTTAAAGCTGGTACTCAAACAGTAACTGGGTCTCTAATTTTAGCCACTTGAGAACAGCATGAGTAAAAATAAAGGCTGGTCTCCAATAAAGGCTCTATTAAACCTAAAGCCTGGCAAAGTTGCAAGAAGTGTTCAACCTTGATTCCGTTCACAAATCCAGGATCCCGTCAGTGCCCCAGACAAGGTGAAAACTGAGATGTCAGCAAAGATCAGACACCGACAGAGATTTTCTGCCGGCTGGTTCAAAAGCCAGTGTCTCATAAATTTACAGTGTCTGACAGAATCAGGCAGGAGCCTCTGTCAGCCCGTCCTCGCAGTATACACATGTAGGTTTCCCATTTTTGAAGGTGAGAGATTTTCATTTTTAGCATCATTGTGTGTCTCCTCGCAGCCAGCACAGAGCTGTGTGGACTGGAGAAATCCTCTGGGATTTAGCAGATTCCTCCTAATGCCCTCGTTTCTGCCCTGTCCACACTCAAACAGCCGAGATGATGACATACTTTCTTTTACCCCTCAGCCGTGCGTTATGAGCGCTCCTCGTGCAGTCTTTGGAGGCCTTTTTCAACAGTCACGTTTGCTGGCTGCAGAGCAGAAATCTGACCTGGTTTTTTTACCCTTGAAGGGTTTTTTTTTTCTTTTTTCTTCTTATGACCTTGATGGAAATAATGGAAATGATAATGGTACAAACTTCAGCCACTTTTAGGATTTTTATTAACAGATCGATCACAACAACTGTCACTGAGCCGGTCACTGGGCAATTCAAGAGGTCCAACCCATCACAACAAACTACTGTTTAAGCACAAAATTAACAATTAATTGTGACATTTATTTTGCATTATGACGGTGTCTTTCTCTTTCTATATTACTGCTTCAAAATATGATTACCTTTAAACACCTGACAATAGATTTGACCTCTGTTAAGCTTCATCCTTGAACTTACCTTGACCAGAGATATTTCCAGTGTAAGAAATTGTCTTTAAATAGAGAAAAGCTTCTCAGCTGATGCACAGTTTGTTCTTGGAACTGGTTGCACTCATTTTTCAGAATACTTTGGGTTTACTCTAGACTTACATAACATAAGCTGATAGCTTATTTAAAAACACTTTCTATAGCATGAGTGTTGTGGGGAAGAATACATTTCACCGGACAGAATTTCAAACGAACTACAGTCAAGAACAGGACACATATAACAGATATGGTAATAGGGTTGTTGTTCTTTAGATCATGTCAGCTTACCTGAAAAATGTTTGTCTTGCGTCAGAGTGGCACTGCTGAAGAAGAGTGGTGAGGAGGACTGGAGGAACAGGATCAACAAGAAACAGGAAGTGGTTAAAGTGGCGTCCACTGAGCAGCAGGCTCAGCTATGGGAGACAGAGCAGACCTGCCATAAGAAGGTCAGTCTCTCCGCACTGCACTGTTGATAACAGACACGTTTAATCTCATTCATGTCCTCCACAATAACCACGAGCTCAGGCAGTCACACACACTCTTCATTCACATTAACATTGTTTTGCAGCACATACTTTCTATCATTTAAGAACACATTCATTTATAACAAGTACATAATGCTTTTTATCAGCAACATCCATTAGAGCCAACAGCATCAGTATTAATTCTGTCTTTATAAAAAAAATAAAATGTGCTGTCCCATGTTCGTCCCTCTCATTTTATCACTGTTTTTATATTTGATAAAATCCGAACCAGCTCTACAAACTGAGATTAACTGTGTGCATGACTTTGCATTCTGTAAGACGTCTCAATTATTCTGACTGGGTTGTTGCTCTCCCCCTTTTTTGAAGCACAGGTGTGCACTGTGCTGAGGCTCCGCAGTACCACCTGTCTCCCCGAGTAAACTGTCCTGGTTTCTATATCACTGTAAACAAAACCATGTTTGTTCATGAATATGAATCATCCTCTAAATTTCACCAGTTACATCTGCAGTCTAGTTATGATTGCAACACAAATTCGAGGGTTACAAGTTCTAACAGTTATTTATGATTTAACTCCTAAATGATTGAATTGGACTTTTCTTATAGCTGTTTGTTTGTGTTGCTCACTCTCATGGACGTCGTTGTAAAGCTTCAGTTTTTTTAAATCTCTGCAGTACTGCTGGTGTATTTACCAGTATTTACCAGTACCTTTATTTTCCTTCCTGTTTCTAATTTACCCTGTACTATTAACTGTGCCTGCCACAGTGCCGGCTTGTGTTATAAGGTTTTTATGTCCCTAGAACAGGCATATATTTCTCACAAATATTACGCTGTCTGGTATTATGGTTGAGCAGAGTAAACACCAGTGCCGCATTTCATCCCCCATCCTTCATGGTTGCCATGCCAGCTCCTGTCCTCTGCTCTTTTAGTTAAGTGCTCCTTTCATTTCCCCATTTAGTCCATCTGTTGTTTGAGCCCAGTCGTCCAGATCCCTGCAGCGTCCAGCCCTCATAGACTGTAAACAAAAAAACATATGGGCCAGGCTGCTAGTAGAATTAGCAGTGTTTAGCACTGGGAATTAAATTTTTTTCTCTTACAAGATCAGATCTGGGCAGGCTTCAGGCTAAGTTTCACTTAAACCTCCAGAGATAAAGACTTGAAAGCATATTTGACAGAAGGAAATGATTCAAGGATCTCTTATATGTGTTTATATGAGTCAGTATTAGTTTAAACAGCAGTTTGAATGAAATTTATAAGCTCAAAGAACGTCTGATTTCAGGATTTAGGTTTCTTTTTTCCCTGCAGCTCATCTACTTCACATTAGTATTCTGTAGGGCGAAACTGCCTGCTTAAACCCTGGATGGTAATCCTCCAGGCAGTCTCACCCCTAAATCCATTAAAGCAACAATGGCTGCCCGCCCCCCCCTCTCCCCTTGACCAAGTACTTCCCCTGTTTTTAACCCCTCAGGAGGAAGGGGTGGTCGTTCAAGACTACTCTGCTGTGTCTGTGTCTGAACAGCTGTGGGTAAGACCTGTTGGCAGCCGCACACCAACCCTAAACCAATCAGCTTCGTGTGGGACCTGTGTTGTCCAATCACAGTTATGTTTGGATGCTGTGTGAGGCTGTTTGCTTCTTGTGAATCTTTTGGCCGCTCCTCACTTGCAGCCTGTAGCGCTGCTCTCTGAAGCAGCAGGATGGTAGTTGGGAAATGGCTGATGCTGGAACTTTTCTAAGCTTTCTTTCTCTTTTGCTGATTCTGTCTTAAAGGAGCATTAAATAATCGATTTACGCCAAATTAGAAATGTCTAGAGACAGTTAAATCTAAATCAGTATTTTTTTACCTTCCACATAATCATTCTCAGTTAAAACTCCAGTCCAATTGCTTGGATTCAAGTAACTCCAGACATTGTGCCACCTGGAACATTGAGACAAACTTTCATAGTCAATATAAACTTTAAATGCCTTGTAGTAGTGACCAAGGAGGGTCTGCAACATTCTGGCATTTCTGGCAAAAAACATTATGCTGTAATTTTCTGGCATTTTCACAGTTAAAGAAAGAAATTACAGTTTCATAAAAGAACAAATACTCAAGAAAAGCATATTAATCAAAAGTGTCTTCAAGTTTAAAAAGACCAGTTTCCAAAACTAAGCATGCAGACCGGAAAGTACGTTTGTGACAGAGGCCTCCTGCCAAGTCACAGAGTCACTGCTTTGTTACGCTACAGTGCAGATCTGAGGGGTCATGAAATAATGAACAAATTAGAAAAGAAGGCCAAAACATTTTTTTCTTACTCATAATATTATGTTAATTTTTTTAGGACATGTATCGTTTTTTTCTAACATACTGGATCATTTTAAATTTTGAGGCTTCTAAAAATGATTCAATTTAAAGTCTGTTCTCCTGATCTTCAGACGTACAGACATGAGTTTGTCTCATTTACCCTGGAGCCAGTTGCGGTCTAAAAACCTTAAGCAAATGTGATGTGGAAACTTGAAACCTGAGGACGGACTTTTCAGTGAACCAGGATGTGTTCAGCAGCTACATTTTTGACATGAACACTCTTCTCATATTTATAGATAATAGATTTTGAGAGAGAAGGACTTGTTGTAATTATAAAACATTGAACTAGTTAATAAAAAAAAAAACAAGAGAGTTCTGTCTGGAGGGGCTTTTTAAACAGTGTAAGAAGGTAAAATAAATAACTCATTTAAATCATTTTAAGACTAACTATTACTTAATGCACCTCTAAGCTTTAAGCTGTGTTTTCACTGCACCTGAGACACAATGGCTTTTGCATTTTGCTGCTTTATTACTAACTAAAACTGTTAATCTAAGTGGCTATTAATGATTTTAAATTCCTTTATAATTATTTTTCTTTTATTCAAGCGGGCAATTGTTTTCTTTTGAAAAGCTTTTGTAGTTTCTTAAAGATACAGCAACAAATGTATATATTTGTTGTGCATGTGTGTTTCAAAAACATAATAAATGATAAAGTTAAGTTTATTTTGTACATAAATTGTTGTTTACAGAGCTGTTGGATTAGCTCTAGAAGTTGAAGGACAGCGAGTTGCGTTCCCAGTTTCTGGCCCTGGACTTCCCTCCTTTGCATCCGTCCCTTATCTTCCATCATCTGCATGTTTGTTGATTTTCCTTCCATTTCCTCCTTTCCTTTCCCTTTTTTTCCACTTATCCATCCACCTCTACATCCTCCAGGAACCTGTCTTCTCTTCCACCTTTTCTCCTCCTATCTCACTTGGCCAAAAGTGTCAGTATATTGACCATCCCAGCCAGGTAAGGATATGCGCCTGACACGCTCGAATGGGCTGCATGTACCAGAGTTTTATCTTTCTTGCTCGATTTGCAGCTCCCTCGTGTGAAGGCCGCTTTCTGAGTCGTTAAGATTGATTTGATTTCTACAGCATGAGTACAATTCAGTGTACACCCATCACTTCTACTGTGGAATAGAGAAGATTATATAGTCTAGGAAGGGCATGCACCTAGCACGCTTGACTGCATCAAATCTTTTTAGATCTGCTTGGTTTGATACTGTTACTACATGAATAATTGCTCCAGAGGAAACAGAGGAGTCACATGAAGTTATAGTGAAGCTGTGTCAGAAGTAGATGTAGCTCTTTAAGTGTTATATGGTAGATGCAGTGGTGTTTGGAAGCTTCTGGATCCATGATCTACTTTTAGGTTTAATATAGCTCTTAAACCTGTTAAATAAACACCAATTTGACTGAAATGAAAGCCGACAGTCAGCGTCATTGTGCAGGGTTCCAGGCTTTGCATGGAAGACTTGAAACTTTAAGTTAATAATCACTGATAATTTGATTATTTGTCTGATTTCCTGGTGTCTGTGCAGAAGATGGGAGAGGAGATTGAGGCTCAGATGACTCAGATGACCATTGAGGAGAGGAAACAGATGATTTCGACTCGTGAGGATGCCTGGAAGACAAAGGGCAGAGGAGCAGCTAATGACTCGACCCAGTACACAGTGGCTGCACGTATGGTCAAGAAAGGTCAGCGAACAAACCTGCTGTTATCTACCGATCCTCACTGAGGTGTAGAGCATTTGAAAATGCCACTGGGTATGATTTATCTGAAAAAATACACCTATTTTCTCATAGTGAATCAGAAGGTGGGCTACGACAGAAAATCATCGCTCCCTACTCCCTATATATAAACCTAACCTAAATATTAGACGGCTAATGTAGCATCAGATGTTTTTGTCTTTTCTGTCAAATTGGATTGAATTGTCGAATTTTGCAATACAACACGACTGGTGCCACTGTAAATTGAAATATACTATGTTAAATGTATTAATGAGAACAAATGAAATATTAAATACTGGCGCAGAATGGCGTTTATCTCTACTTATCTCTCCACAGTGTCAGATATTTTGTCCCGTCTGTGTGTCCGCAGGCCTGGCAGCCTCCTCCTCAGTTATCAGTCCCATCCTGTCACCAGTCTCCACCAAACTCAAGAGCAGCACGCCCGCTGTCAGCAAACCACAAGAGGGTGAGAGAGATCAGCAAGTCCTGTGTCATCACTGCCGCCTCAGCTAAGAAAAATCCCACGGATTTAAAGATGCTTTACTTTACCCATTTGTTGTTTCTCCTCAAACAGGAGTGCAGTCATACAAACTGACCTTAAGATCTACCCAGATGTGAACAGTACTTTTACTTTTAAGCTTATAACTTGCACAATACTTATGTAAAGATAGATATAGCCAGCGAGTCACAAAAAAAAACCCCCAAAAAAACACCATTGTAAAATTAAATTCATTTGCAGAAATTGAGGCTCGGCCGGACATGGAATCAGATAAGAAGCTGGACAAGTTGGAGAGCTTCTTGGGACGTCTGAATAGCAAAGGTACGTCCTTCCATCTTTACTTTAAGCTCATCAAGTGATATTTTCTGTCATGGTCACCTGTAGTAGACCTCTAAAGAGTGTGTAACATTTTCAGTTTGCTGAGCATTAAGTTCCATTCATTGGCCTGTTTCCTTTGTGTGTATTGATTTTCTTATTGCATTAGGACCTAATCTTGTCCCTCTCTCCTGTTCTCCTCTGTTGATCAGTGGCAGGTCTGCAGGAAACCACCTTAACAGTGACTGAGAAGGCAGTGAAGGAAGTGATGAAGCTGGATGACGAAATCTTCTCCAAGTTTTACCGACGCGTTGCTGAATTTCCACGCATGCCCACCAGGATCGAGATCAGTGAGGACTTCGACACCATCTTCGGCTCTCAGGGTCCCAAGTAAGAAAATCCTGGTTACAATGGAGGACAACATATGACACATCTCGACTTTATAGATTGGATTGATGTGGGGCTGGAAAGCCAGTCTTTTGTTATTAATTTCCCTGAAGCACTATGCTCATACACCTGGTTGTCACGCTCGCTAGGTTAACTTCAGCCATGGTGCAGCACAAGCGCTCGGTGCGTCCGTCCAGGAACGTCCAGTCGTCCAGAAACCCTCTGAAGATGCTGGCTGCGAGAGAGGACATCAGACACGAGTACATAGAGCAGAGACTTAACGTGGCACAGCTGGAAAGCAAGAGGATGAAGGCTGAGAAGAGTGAGTGCAAGGATGACGCTGTGTGTTTATGTATGAGACAGAAACAGTCTGTGATAAAGAGTACGAATTACATCATTACAAAATCTCAGTGGAAAATATGAAACATTATTATTGTGTACATACATATATTCATCTTCATCTCTTTGTTTATTATTATTACAGCACTAATTTGAGCTTCATATTGCAGCAGTGTAGGGATCTTGTTACTTTAAAGTTTAATGAAGCATATGTTTGTTTGTTTTTCTACCCCCTGTAGATCTGCATTCTTGTAAAACTGTATACTCTCTTGTTCCAGTGACTAAAACCTCAGAGTACTCTGAGGCTGCTCTGGCAGGCCTGGCCAGTAAAGAAAACTTCAGCAGCGTGAGTCTGCGCAGCGTCAACATCGCAGAGCAGACTTCCAACAACAGCGCCGTGCCGTATAAGAATCTCATGCTGATGCAGATCAAAGGTAAAAACTCCCATAAATCCTGCTGCCATCGTTTGAGGCTCATTTCCCAGCCAATATCTTTGTATATGTATTTGTATTTTTGTCAGCTGTTATCCATGTTGTGTTTGTGTTTTCACACATAGAAAGAAATAGAATAGAATTGAAAAATGCTGTGTTGCCTGAACATGATTTCTTGAGCGTATGACCTTTTGACAAACTTGATGAATAAATTTGATTCTTTCCAGGTCGCCGTCACGTTCAGACCAGATTAGTGGAACCCAGAGCGTCCTCACTCAACAGTGGAGACTGTTTCCTGTTGGTCACTCAAGAGCACTGCTTCGTCTGGATGGGAGAGTTCTCAAATGTGATCGAGAAGGCCAAGGTGAGGACTGTACCTGTGTTATGACAGACTGTGCCCGTTAGTCAGATTTTTTATACAGCCACAGTAGTATCTCCAGAACTAATCGAAAATCCCTTCAAATGTGGGACAAACATCCACTTGAACAAAAGGATGAAGTGATTAGATTTTGGTGGTCAAAAGTCAAAGGTCAAGGTCAGTGTAACTGCACAAAACACTTTTTAACTCAAGATTTCACTCAGCAATTATTTGACAAAATTTTACACAAATGGTTAATATTTTATATGACTCTGGATAAACACGGATGTAGCCTGAAACTCGTCTGAGTGGCGAAGGCAGACAACCGCGAGGGGGTAATTCTAGTTGATTTTGAAGTCGAGCATCAAGGCCGCTCCTGTAATATTGGCATTTGAACAAAGATGATTCATTGATGATTCTGCCTCTTATTTCCATTCCCTGCACACACACAAACATACACTGGCACATATGCCCATCTGCACTCCCCATCAAACACGTGCTTCCTGGCTAGTGTTCAGTTCTTCCATTTCCCCAAAGGAGCTCTGTCCAGACACTTTTTAATAAACATTTGTTTTTCTATGCTGCCCCCTCGTCCAGTGCTGTTTGCTCATATTATTATGATTTTATGTACAAAAAGCCCAGAAACAGCCAGTCAAGGTTCTTCACTGCATCCTTGTTTAGTCAAAATGTGAAGCATGATTCCTGGATTAATCAAGAAAAGTCAGTTTTCTCTATTGTTTACATAAAAGCACTTCATCTGTATCTGTTAGCATTGAGGCTGAAGAACAGATTTTTGTCTCTTGCCTGTAGGCCATAGATCTGGCCACCTACATCCAGACGAAGAAGGACATGGGCTGCAGGGCAAACCAGGTGCAGACCATCGAGGAAGGGGTTAAGCCACAGGGCACAGACATCCAGCAGTTCTGGACAATCCTAGGAGGACAGACGGCTTACCAACGTAAGAAACAAGCAAAGTTTGAAGCCGTTCCTCTCAAAACTGCCTATACACATTTTCAGTGGTCTTTCTTCTCGGTGCTTTTGGACTACGTCAGACATTTATGTGGCTTATTCTAATTGTGCCATAGCTGCTGGTCCACCAGAGGACGATGAGCAGTTTGAGAATGCCATCGTGGAAACCAACTGTATCTTCAGACTGGTGGATGACAAACTGGTTCCTGATGACGATGAGTGGGGGAAGGTCCCTCGCAGCTCTCTGCTGGCGTCCAAAGAGGTCAGTGGGACGTGATGTTTGTTCATCAAAGCCTCCTTACAACCTTTTCATTCTGGGTCTCATGTTTCAGCAGTAAAGATGTGCTGTAAGTCTTTTCAGCCTGCTGGATTGGATTCATATTTTTTTTTAAGTGAGGAAGAGTGCTGCCTTTTCACTGACACTGCTCCTCTTTTCTTGACTGGTCAGAGAAGATGCCGCTTTCCTGTTTTTCTCTTTTCTGTATCCCCACTAGACCAGAATGCAATGCAGCAACTTGTCACTATTAAAATTGATCATCATTCACGCAGTATTATTCTCTCAGTCTCGTTTAAGAGTACGTGATGGTGGATTTTTTCTTTAAGGTACCAACCTATGAATATTAACACATTTCAGGCTGTTTCAGAGGAGCTCTGCGCTTCGAGCTGGTTTTAATTTGTTGCTTAGCAACAGCAGGTGCTGTGGACGAGTACCTCCTACATCCATCTGTGCACTGCTTCTGCTGAAAAAATGAAATGGGTTCAGAAGACAGGGGCTAAGACCGGGAGTCCACTGCTGTTAGTGTCTAAATAACAGATAAATGATGGAGTATCACTGTCCTACTCCTCACTCTACAAAGTTGGTGTACAGAATATTATATTTGTTTGTTTTTTTTATATCATTTGTGTTTAGCACACATTTTCATGTTATATTTGTATTTTTAAATGTTTTACATTTTGATTTAATGTTTAGAAACTCCATATGGTATAACATGTAGTATACTGTAGATGGGTCTTGCTTTAAAAACTAGAATAAATCTGTGTATAGATGAACATTGTCCGCATGCACCGTCTATGAGCTTTATTAAAGATTAAACAGACGTACAGTGTTAGTTAACTGGACATTGTTTGCCATTGTTTTTGTTTGTTGTCCGTGTGTGCTGCAGGTGTTGGTGTTTGACTTTGGCAGTGAGGTGTACGTGTGGCACGGTAAGGAGGTGACTCTGGCCCAGAGGAAGGTGGCCTTCCAGCTCGCCAAACACCTTTGGAACGGGACGTTTGACTACACCTGCTGTGACATTAATCCACTGGACCCTGGAGGCTGCAACACACTCATTCCCAGGTGAGAATAAACACATGCACTTTAAAGCTCTCTGATTTAGCATAGCATAGACTGGCAGAATGTTAAATAATGGCTTCTCCTCTTCCTCGTGCCTGTGTGTGTTTAACTTTCCGCAGGAAGGGCCAGGGCCGTCCCGATTGGGCGATATTTGGCAGGCTGACAGAGCACAACGAGACCATCTTGTTCAAGGAGAAGTTCGTGGACTGGATCGAAGCAAAGCCGCTGACACCAAAGGAAGGCGGCGAGCTCGTACCTGAGCAGAAGGTGCAAATCCAGATAATTACATTAATTACACAGGTCACACACATCAGACTCTTCATATGTTTTCTCCATCTTTCCATCTGCTTGTTTATTAAACTGTGGCTCACACTCAGTCTCAGTTAATGTGGCCAGGAACAGTTTGTTTCATACTGGGACTGAAACAGGAATAAGAGCATATGCCTTTGGGTAGCTGCCGTGTAAAGCATCACAGAGAAGCATGAATGCATCAAAGTGTCTTCTTCCGCCTATTGGCTCTGACTGGCAGTTCTCACTGTTATTTCGTAATATTTACTTGTATCATAAATGTTATCTGCGATCTGGCTCCCAGGAGGCCCCGGGGCGCGAGTGCCGGCCGTACGACGCCGCCCTGATGCTACCAGTCCTCCAGTCGTCCGTTGCCACCATCTTGGACGGCGTAAACGTGGGTCGCGGTTATGGCCCGGTGGAGACCGAGGACCACATGAGGACTCAGGAGATCAGCACAGTGTCAGCGGACGTCTGGCACATCCTGGAGTTCGACTACAGCCGCCTCCCACGCCAGAGCATCGGCCAGTTCCATGAGGGAGACGCCTACGTGGTGAAGTGGAAGTACATGGTCAGCACCTCAGGTTAGTCACTGTGGATTTGCACTTGTAACACCTCTGTTTAATTTCGTGAAAAAAAAAAAAGAATTCACACTAGCTGCCAGCTAAATCTTTAAACTAAGTCAAATATAATTCAGCAAGAATACCAGGTGGATGACTCTCGCCACATCTGAACTATTCAGATAGTATCAGACACACAGAGACGTCAATGATAGAGACGTAGACTGAGTCATACCAGTTACACCAAATCACAACCGCACATCACCCCAGAAACAGCAAAGGCACCATTTTAAAAGCTTCAAGGTTTCTACAGTTTGTACAGGAAGATAGAATCAGGCTTTTTTTTTTCCCAATACAAGCATTATTATTTCAACAGTATTGAAAATTCAGTGTAGTTTGTTGATCCTTTTTGCTGTGCATGTATGTGTCCCAGTTGGTCGTAGGCAGAACCCCGAGGCGAGGAGCACTGGACCGGGGAAGGAGAAATGCTGCTATTTCTTCTGGCAGGGTCGACACTCCACCGTCAGCGAGAAAGGAACGTCGGCGCTGATGACGGTGGAGCTGGACGAGGAGAGAGGGGCACAGGTACGAGAGACGAGGCCAGAACAAAAACTAAATATAGATCAATTAGAAACTCAAGTGTGATGATGAATTGTTTTGTAATTTAAAAACAACAAAAGTGTTTTTCTCACACTGATATCCATGGAGTATCAAGATTCCTGCCAGTCTGAGCATAAACTGTGTGAAGTAGTGTTTTTGTTTGTGTTAGTCTAAAGCTTCATATCCGGTGTTGTCTGTGTGTGTGTGTGTGTGTGTGTGTCTCTGTGTGTTACAGGTTCAGGTGCAGCAGGGGAAGGAGCCTCCATGTTTCCTACAGTGTTTCAACGGAGGGATGATCGTCCACGCTGGCAAAAGGGAGGAGGAGGAGGAGAACACTCAGAGTAATCACTTTAACTCTCTCTGCTTTAAATGCTTTAAAAGTCTTGATTTCCAAGCAAGGAGACAGGGCTTATTCAGTCCTGTAAGTTATTTTTTACCTTGTATTTACGTGATATCAAGTGATGAGTAAAACCCCTCCTATCGCTCCAATGATCATATTCACCTGCCCGTCCGTCCAGGTGAGTGGCGTCTGTACTGTGTGCGAGGTGAGGTGCCGGTGGAGGGCCACCTGCTGGAGGTGGCGTGCCACTGCAGCAGCCTGCGCTCCAGAGCCTCCATGATCCTGCTCAACATCAACAAGGCCATCATCTACCTGTGGCACGGCTGCAAGACGCAGCTACACACTCGCAGCGTGGGAAACACGGCTGCACTCAAGATCAAAGAACAGTGAGTTGTATAAAGGTTCGGTCGGCAGTGAACATGAAACGTCTCTTATTCTCGCGCATTGTTTGAATTCTTTTCCACTCTTATTCCTCTCAGGTGTCCTCTGGAAGCAGGTCTCCACAGCAGCAGTAAGGTGACCATCCATGAGTGTGATGAGGGGGTGGAGCCTCCGGGCTTCTGGGAGGCTCTGGGCAGAAAGGACAGGAAGGCTTACGACTGCATGCTGCAAGGTACAGGAAACCCTGTGCTTATTTATTGTCATCAAGAACTTACTTATCAATATACACCTGTACGTTCACTCTCATTTACTTACTTGTCTCTCAGTTAGACATAATGCCTCACCGCAGACACAGCTAGTGCAATTATGTTTGACAGAAACTGGAGAGATCAAGCTTCTCCTCATAGTATTTTGGTACTTTACTAAAACTGGCTCAATAAAGTGCTGGAGGTCAAATATTTACTTTTGAAGGGCCTCTAGTATGACTCGATACTGGTGCCAATACAAATGGTAGAAATACTAAAAACAACAATTTTTATGAGTAGTTTTCTTTTCTCAGAACAAACTACAGCAGCTTCTCTTTTAAATGTAACAATAACAGACAAACATCTCAAATCCATCACTGTTTATGTTGCATTAAGCAGTACGACAAAATAAAAGCTCTGCCGAATTATAATATTGTACAAAAACAAAAAAACTGATCATTTAATTCAGACAATAAGGTTTGGCCTCCAAACCTACAGCAGGTGCTACAGTGTCGCGTGAATGTTGACTAAACTTAATCTCGTTAAATGCTGCTTTCTGTTTTTCTTTTCAGATCCCGGTAAATTCAACTTCACCCCGCGGCTCTTCCAGCTGAGCAGCACATCAGGAGAATTTGTGGCGACCGAGTTCTTCCACCTGTCCAGAGCTCCAGACCTGGTCAGCTCGCTGCCTTTCCTGCAGGAGGATTTGTACAACGTAGGACAGCCCGGTGAGACACACACACAAACACAGACACACACAGCATGACTCTGACTCGGACTTTGTGGATCATGTGAGGAAAATTCATCAAGTGCTGCCAGATTGACAAATGAATCTATAGGTTACAGATGTACAACTTTTACCTGTATGCAGACCGTGTACATACTGTAATTTGCATTGAGAGAGTAAAAGATACCCCCCCCCCATCACAGCACTGTTCCTGGTGGATAACTTCCATGAGGTTTACCTGTGGCAGGGCTGGTGGCCTCAGGACAGTGAGAGCACCGGCTCAGCTCGTATCCGCTGGGATTCAGACAGGAAGTGCGCGATGGAGACTGTGCTGCAGTACTGCAAAGGTAAGGAAACATGATTGGTTTAACATGGACAGAATAAAAAACTGATATACCATGAAGTATTAAATAATTATAATAATGATAATAATGATTTCGACACAGTTTTGACATAAAAGCACAAAAAGTGAAAAAATTTTGCAGTGCTTTGGTGGAAAGGTCATTTTTCTTATTTACTGTGTTTCACAATTTGATCACAAACAGACTCCACTCATATTTATACCCAGCCATGTATTTCTACCTGGATAAACTAAGAACATATTAAATGATCTATAAATTGAAAGAGAGACATGCTGCACAATCTCTTATTTTAATCAAGCATGATGAAATGAAATGGCGGCAGTTGGATTACCAACTTGTGGTTCAATGTCAGAATTATTGTGCTGATTTTCTCCTTCAGAGAAGAACGAGAAGAAGTCTCAGAAGTCGTATCTGATCCACGCCGGTCTGGAGCCGCTCACCTTCACCAACATGTTTCCCAGCTGGGAGCACAGGGAGGACGTAGCTGAGATCACCGAGAGGGTCAGCAATACACACACACACACACACACACACACACACACACACTCACGCTGAGCTTGTAAGTGCTGAGGCAACACTAACACTGATATTATACAACACACCTCCTGTTGTAACAAAAGGACTTTATGCTGTATCTTCTGTCCTGGCTGCAGGAGGCCGAGGTGTGTAACCAGATCATCCTGGTGGAGGACGTGTTGGCCCGGCTCTGTCAGAACACCTTCCCTCTGGCTCAGCTGCAGGCCCGGCCGCTCCCTGAGGGGGTGGACCCCCTCCGCCTGGAGATCTACCTGTCTGACCAGGACTTTGAGGTCAGTAAACCTGATAGCTGGGTGGCTTTATTTGAAGTTGTTGTTTGTAATGTTGGAGACAGGGTTTCCTTCCCTTGATAAGACTTTTAGGGCATTTTTGTCCTTTTATTTGTAATTTTCTTACATGATGAAATACCACACTTTCATTACAGACTGGCAAATAGATCATTAAACAACACATGCTTCTGTCTCACCCTCTGGAAACTGACAGCAATACAAATAATTCCTCATTACAGTGAAAGTGATGTTTTGAAAAATCTTAAATATACAGTATATTCTACATTTACTGTATATAAATGTGCTTTTATTACTTAACACTTAAGTCAACTCTCACAGAGTGGCGTACACTGTATGCAATAAAATGTTTAACATCTGGATAAGTGACTTTGTGACCATGAAAAGAATATTTTAGACGGATGATGCAACTAAGAGATGTGAGAGAAGTTTGTGTTTGAAGGATTAAGGTTCTCAGTCATTTATCTTCCATCATTGCCTTTGAAAGGAAAAATCCACCAGGACATTTTAAAACGAGTTGACACTTCGTTATAATCAATATAACCTCGTGTGCTGGTGATATACCGGGCATGTTTGTGTCCATTTGTATCCTTTATTTGGTGGTGTGTTTTCTGACCAAAGATCAACAGTGTAATGTCACATCAAGATATTTCCAGAAGCTAAAGTCTGATACCAGAGAACAAAAAAATGTCTTAACTGCTGCATCTAGAGGAGACACCATTATCATTCATGAGGCAGAGATGCAGACCAACTGATGGAAAGCAAACATGTGGAAAAACAAGTAAAACAACAACAGTTAATCACAAAATAACTTCCGCTCCATGTTGTTGTCCATTGATCGACCTTTATGCATGAAACAATCAGAGGTGGATTTTTCTTCTAAACACCTCATTCATATCATCCGTGCTAACTCCATCTAACTCTCACTTTACAGAGCAAGTTGTAGGTGGACTCAGGTAAGAAGAGCCGCTCCTGTGAGTCATCAGCACTGGCGACCTGTTCTTCTCTCAGCACGTCACACTGTGTTTTTCTGTCTTACATGGATTTGAAAACTCTGATTCACTCCTGTTTCACTGCCGTCTCTGAAGTGTGGTGCTGGTTTGAGGAGGAAAGTTTCGCTGCTTGGCTGCACAGCTACATCTAAAGAGATCATTGCGATTACATTGTGTCACAGTCGGTCGGGCCCTTCTTATCAGCTGCTGTCACAAAGAATGTAGCGCTCCGACTTCTTCACACAGTAGATGAGAATATAAAAAGACACACGACCCAAAATTAAATGCTTTTCCTGCGAGAGGAAAAACTGAATGAAATAATAGAAATGATAAAAATAGAAACAGGTTCAACTTCAAAGAGTCAAAATTTAAAAATGAAATAAAGTATGTCTTTACATAACACAAAGATAGAATTTATATTTTATTGTTAGTCATAATACAGTCAAAATGTTTACTATATGATAATTTAGACAATTTTGATTTAATATCTCACAGAGCTGAAACAATCAGTTCATTCATTTGTCATTCGACAGAAAATTAATTAATTAATTAATTGTTTTAGTCATTAATCAAGCACATTCTCCAGTGTGAGGATTTGCTGTTCTCTCTGTTCTTTATCAAATACTCTTGGTGTCAGGCTGCTGGTTGCACAAACACTGTAATGTTTGAAGACATCACTTTTGGCTCTGAGAGGTTACACTGAGAATTTTTTTCTCCTATTTTCTAACATTTCATATATTAAATTGATAATCGATGATAAAAAAAATAATTATTATTTGGAGCCCTAGTAAGTCCAGATGATCCTTATCTTGTAATTTTCAAAGACAGAAAAACTCTGACCGTCCATAAAGCCCTCAATGATAACCTGAGGTTCCACTGTTTTTAACACATTTCCCCAACACGAACAACTGAGGTTGTAAATTAGGTCTTTAATGATTTACTGTTACAACAATTGAGTCGTTTAATTGTGCAGCATTACTTCCTCTCGTCTCCTCTTTAAAAAGGTGTCTGTGCTCGACACCTTCAACTACACCACCTTCCTGTATCTACACTGTTCTGCTGCTGCTGCTGCTACTCTCCTCTACACACACACACACACACACACACACAACCTCCATCCGAGACTCTTCTCTCTCAGTATAAATAAATGCACTTGTGATTCACCATCAGCTACACCCCAGTCTGACTCACTCTGTCTGTGGAGCACAAAATCAATGCATGAAAACACTGAAACTACTGGACTGTCCTTACATGGTACAAGAGGTTTTCTGAGGTTTTTGTCCACTGTAAAGATCCACACAGCTCTGACTATGATGACAGTATGCTCTGCCATCGCCCACTTTTAGACCAATCAGCAAGTGTATCAATAAAGACACAGTGAATGTCAGAAATATGTACTAGAAGAGTCCAAATGTACAAGAACCCCCCCCCCCCAAAAAAAAAGAAGTTGAATTTAACATGGAAGAGTCCCCTCTAAATCTATGTTTTAGTCTCACATGTACTGTTGAAGCATGCTAGATATAAAGCTGTATAACACTATTGCTGGAAGCTAATAGAGTGATTGTGCAGTGATTGTGCAGAGGGCTGACCCAAATGCAGCAGAGATGCATTTATCATTTTTACACTGCACAGTAATTACCGAGATTGTTTTCGCCCTAGATTATGGCATGGTCAAATTTATAGTTTAAAATTTACCATTCCCTTACCAATCAGATATTTGAAAAATGATAAAACCCAAGTAAAGAAATCTTCATATGTTGTATAAAATGACCCCAAATGTTTGAAGGGTGATTGTTTCCTTGTATGTAATGAATTGCTTTTTGATGACTTCTTATTTCTGTATAATACAGTAATATACAATGAACAAATATCTAGGGCAGAATTATCTGTCTGACTTTTAGTATATTGTGTTTATCAGTGTATAATCCTGGTAGGAAAATCTTTAGTACTTCTTTTTTGAAACACTTTTTACCCAATAAACGCTTCATGGCTTGTTTAACCTCACACCAACATTCAAACATCAGGACCTTCCTGTAAGACTTTATAGTTCAACTATTTCGATTGTTTTGTTTTTTGTATTAATGAACTCTTTGTTTTTCTCCTCTGTTACAGAAAGCTTTGGACATGAAGAGAGAGGAATATGAACGTCTGCCAGGGTGGAAGCAAGTGAATTTAAAGAAGGCCAAAGGACTGTTTTAAGGAGGTTTTTAAATGGAAGATGGCGTGTGTGTGGAAAACAGATGAGATGGAGACACAGGAAACGTCACATGAACTTGTTTTAGTGGAAACATGTGAGGACACTGGGGAGAGACATTCACAGTGTCCTGAAGAGGGAACCTGACTCTGAAGAAAACCTACATGAATGATGGGACTGGAGATGCACTCGCCTTGCTTATAGTCATGTTTTACTTCTACTTTGTCATTACATAACAAAATTAAACTCAAGCCGTTTAACTGAAGGTAAAAAAACACCTTGCTTTGGTTCATACATGGTGTGTATTTGGAGTCTCCTCCAAGCACTAAAGTCACCGCTCATGGACTTGTGAAAGAAAACACTAGGACGCTTGGTGTCAGAGTGCCATGCTGTGGTTGTGTATGTGTGTGTGTGCGATTGTATATAAAGTGTGTGTAATGTTTCTTTGTGTAAATGTGTGTGTAGATGCGTTTGTGACTTTGTATCTATGTAAAAAAAAAAATCCTGTCACGTCAGATGTTGTGAGGAAAGCCGTCTTTTGTTTTGTGTACAGTGTCTGGATGCTGTCAGGCCACGTAGGTAACTCATGTTGCTCCACTGTGTTGAACTGCTGACGTGACTCTGACTGACTGAGCTCCTCGTAGCAGAGAGAAGAGCTGTAATTTAAAGGTTCCACTATGAAGAGAGGAGAAGCAGCAGCTTCAATCTGAATGTATAGTGCCTTGCTTTTTGTGTACAGTTTATATACAGAAATTCTAGTCTGCATTTTTAAAGACTTTCTTTGTGATATAAGACATAGTGAATTAAATCACAATAATGCTCCAATCAAAGCAGGACTCTGTGTCTTTCTGTCTCTTGCTACATTCATTAAAAGCGCTGCATTGAAACCGTCTATTGAGCATGTGAGCTCTCCAGAGGAGACAGAGCTAAACACTGAACCAACATGTCAGCCTCATTCTGAACTTTCTTCTTCATGAAAATCATCCTCACAATAAATAAAACCACCTCTAGTCCAACGACACAACATCTCTCGTCTCGAGTGTGTCAGGACTCCACTAAACTTCTTCACACTGAAACTTGACCAAATTCACTCTGAACATTTTTCCACTTTTTGAAGCAACAGGTGAAAGAAAACTCGGCTCATTTCTCTGTGACAGAGTTGTTTTAGTGAAGGAAGCTGAAAGGACAGAGACTGACTGACACGTGTTCTTCTGCTCTGAACATGAACTCTGTACTTTGTGGTGTTTCAGGAGGAAAACCGTCTCAGTTATACTCTCATATTAGTTTCACATTTTCTCCATCGGCTTTGAATCAGATCCTGGAATGAAGGTAGAAGCAAATATTTGATTTATTCTTTAGGAAAAACAGTTTTATTCATGATGTAGATCTTCAGTTTGTTCACATTGAATCAGTAAAGTCTGTTAAATGACTCTTGTTCAGTGATTTCAGGAGCAGATTCACTTCATCCACACAATCAGTTTATTTCACCTGAATCTCAGATATGGAAAAGAAAATAATGAATCATCTCCTCAGTGATTGTTATCATGATAATTACAGTTTGATAAAACCTCATAGACCTTATTTGTAATTTTGAAAAACAAGAACATCTTGTCTGAGGAACACATGAATGTAAATGTAATTATAGATTTGTTCTTTACAAAGTGAAAACAAAATATATGTGATAAAGGAAGGTCTGGTGATTTCTCTGTTAAGGCCCAAACAACAACATACAAATACATCAACTCAAATATTCAACAAACATTTAAAGCAAAGAGAAAATTATATTTTCATGTGGAGAAATGTGAGTTTAGGTGAAGAAAAATCATCCTGAGCAGTGATATCCTCCATGACTCCAGCTCCACCTAAAGAAACTCAAACATCAACACAACAATAAATGAGAAGAGGTCAAAGCCCCTCCCATAATGTTTGATTGACAGGTGATCTGTGTGCAGTGCACAAACACAACAGCAATGAGCTTTTAGCAGCAATGATGGAAGTTCAAATAAACTGATGAATTAAAATACAGATTTTAACCAACTGAAATTTAAATGTCCTTTGTCTATTTGAGTTTACAGAACTCAGCTGTGTCTCCATTGTTCCAGTTAAGCCAAACTCCAGCATAGAGAGGCTGAGTGAATGTGGTCTGGACTCTGTGGAGGAGAGTCCTGGTTTCAGAGACGCTGTAGAAGGACAGAACACCTGCTCTGTGATCCAGGTACACTCCTACTCTGGAGGACCGAGGACCTGAGACTGGAGTTTCCCTATTGTTGAACCAAAATGTATATCTGTTTTGATCACAGTGTAACGCCCAAGATTTGTCATTGCTTCCAAATATACATTCCTCCGAGTACCCTGCTCTGCTGATATTCTTGTATGCGACTGCTACATAAACTCCTCCTCTCCTCTCCACCTCCCAGTAACAACGTCCAGTCAAACTCTCTCTACTCAGGGCCTGAAAATATGAAGTGAATCTGTCTGGGTGACTAGAATAAGACTGTTTTTGATTCATTAATGTTGCTTTTCTGTTTCCCTCAGATAATAACAGACGTGTGTTTGCTGTGTTTGGATCCAGTGTGATATCCTGTGAATATTTTAAGAAGTCAGCTCTGGTCTTTGGCTCTAGTTGTGACAGTAAAACATCCACTTCAGTCACTGTCAGTGAGATGTTTGTCCATGTGTTTCTCAGAATGTCCTGTAGTTTATCTCTGAGCTGTGACACAGCTGCTGTCACGTCCTCAAAGTAGCTCAGAGGACGGATATTGATGCTGGATGAGTCTGTAGATTCACTGAGTCGTGACAGTGAGGGGTAGTTGTGTAGAAACTGGTTGTGATCCTCTGTGTGTGAGAGCTGCTTCAGCTCAGCGTCTTTCCTCTTCAGCTCAGTGATCTCCTGCTCCAGCTTCTCCTGAAGCTCTTTGACTCGACTCACTTCAGTTTCCTGCTGGGATCTGATCTGCTGCTTCACATCAGAGCCTCTTTTCTCCATGAGACGGATCAGCTCAGTGAAGATCTTCTCACTGTCCTCCACTGCTTTATCAGCAGAGCCATTGATAGCCTCCACCTCCTGTTGAAGCACCTTCACATCTTTGTCTCTGTCCTGGATTCTCTGCTGGATTTGTTGTCGCCTCAGCTGGAGCTCTCTCTGCCTCTCAGTCCTTTCTGCTGCAGCTGAGACTGTGTCGTGGCCTTTATGTTCATCCACAGAGCAGAGATAACAGATACACTGCTGATCAGTGCGGCAGAACATCTTCATCACCTCATCATGACGAGAGCAGATGTTCTCCTGGAGCTTCTTGGAGGGCTCCACCAGCTTGTGTTTCTTTAACGGAGCTGCTTCATAGTGAGGTTGCAGATGTTTCTCACAGTAAGAGGCTGGACACATCAAACAGGATTTGACAGCTTTCAGTTTTCTCCCAGTGCAGACATCACAGGCCACATCTTCAGGTCCAGCATAGCAGTGATCAGCAGCAGCAGCTTGGAGTCCAGTCTTCTTCAGCTCCTCCACTAAAACTGCTAACATGGTGTTTTTCACCAGGACAGGCCTCGGTGTGAAGGTCTGCCTACACTGAGGACAGCTGTGGATTTTCTTCTCATCCCCTTCATCCCAGAAGCTTTTGATACAGTTCATGCAGTAGCTGTGTCCACAGGGAATAGTCACCGGATCCTTCAGTAGATCCAGACAGATCGAACAAGAGAAGCTCTCCCGGTCCAGCTGAACTCCTTTCTGCGCCATGTCACCTCTCAGTGGCAACGACTGTCTGAGTTTCACTTTCTCAGAACTGAAACTAGTTTGAGCTCTGATCTGAACAACATGTGTCTCTGCAGTGAACGGGACCTGTCAGCTCTTGCACTTCACCACATGTTGGTTCCACCCATCTTCAAACTGGAGATCTGAAGGGGAGGGAACCAGGAAATATGAGCACAGGGTGGAGCTTGCTGTGTTTGAGAGCAGGAAGAACAGAGAGGGTTGTCGGGGTTGTGTTAATCTGAAAAGAGAGTGTAGCTGTTATTGTAGTGGAGTAAAAAGTATTTCCACCTATAATGTCGAGGAGTAGAAATATAAAGGAGCAGAAAACAGAAGAAGCCTACTCAAGTAAAATACAAGTTCATGTTGCTGGAGACAGCACTCACTCTCATTTATTCTCTCTGAATAAACATCTTTTCTAAAATATGTCACTGAGTCTAACGTCTCAACATCAACAATGTTATTATCCATGTTGATATTTATCTTTATTCATTTATTTCACCTCTGCCTGGATATTTACTATGATGTATATGGAGAAGTGCTAGTTGTTGTTCTCTCACCAAAACAAAATGATGCACAGTAACTGAGTGAATAAATAAGACGTCATGAAAATAAAAGTATTTTTCATGGTGTAGTCTCATCTTGTTCTACAACCCTGTGTCAAATGACAAATGAAGGAACCTTGTAATCTTTCACTTATTTAGTATATGTTGTTCATTATGACATATTCCTCACTATCACCACCTGTAACACATGAGTTGGCTGCTCCAGTGACTGTACAGGACTAATGAAGATAACTGCCACCTGATTACAGCCTACATGTAGAAAATAGCAACTATGCTGTAAACAGCAAATGGACTGAATGATTACAATAAACTCAGTGGTAAAGAAATGACACCAGTTATCTCTTTACAGGTTGGATGGGTATGAAATGTGATGTATTGAAAATGCATCTTCATCATCTTCATCATCACAGTGTTAAAAATCCAGCGCCCTGGACCCAGTTTCACAGAGATACGTCAGACTGGTCTGTGGTGTTGGTCCAGTCTTCATTGTGCTCATAGATCAGTCTGATGTTAGTCAGACTGTTTCACAGCCCGAATGCTCCGCAGGTTGTCAGGCGACCTATAAATGGTTATTAGCTCAGTACAGCACTAATAGAGCTCCACTGATTTGCCGCTCCAGTCAGAGAGACTGAGAGGAAATGACACCAAGCTGA